ATGGGCCCAGGCAGCCCCAAGGAGCTCCGCTCCGCTCGGCCTCCACAGCCAAAAGGCGGCAGCACCCGGCGCACAGGGCGTTGTGGGAGCGGCGCGCACCACTCACACCCGGGAGGGAGGGGGGGGGGAGAGGCCGTGTTAGAGAGAGCGAGGTGCGCTGATTGAGACAACGCAGCGCACTCACAGCGCGGGCCTCATCTTCCCTCCTTCCCTTCCACATAGTGAAACAGCCGGGAAGCGCGGGCAGGAAGCAGGGAAGGGAGGGGAAGCAGACAGGGCCCCCCACCTTATCACAGAGTGGTACAACCCACGCGCGCAGCGGTGCGGAGGGGAAGAGACCAACAGAGCAAGGAAACAAAGGCCCCGGTTATAACGCGCCCACCCCCCCCGGTTCCTCCCGGTACCGCTGTGTCCTATGGCAGCGGGCACGGCTCCGTGCCCGGGGGGGACACCGGAGGCTGGCGGGGGAATGGCGGGTGGGAAGCGGGGGGGAGTGACGGTGAAGATGTCGCTGCGCCGCGCTTACTCCATCAAGGACAAGCTGCAGGCCATCGAGAGGGTGAAGAAGGGCGAGCGGCAGGCGTCGGTGTGCCGCGCCTTCGGGGTGCCGGGCGGCACGCTCCGGGGGTGGCTGAAGGACGAGGCGAAGCTGCGGTGGTTCCTGGAGCAGCTCGGCGGGGACGTGGGCACCCAGCGCAAGAAGATGCGGTTGGCCAACGAGGAGGAGATCGACCGCGCTGTCTACGCTTGGTTTCTGGCTCTCCGGCAGCACGGGGTGCCCCTCTCCGGGCCTCTCATCCAGGCTCAAGCTGAAGCCTTCGCCCGGCAGATCTACGGACCGGAATGTACCTTCAAAGCCAGCCACGGGTGGTTCTGGCGCTGGCAGAAGCGCCACGGCATCTCCAGCCAACGCATCTACGGGGAGGGTGGGCTCCCCGCCGAGCCCGAGCGGGCTCCGGCTGCTTGCCCTGAATCCCTGCCCATCCCGGCTTCCGACGCCGCAGGGTACGGGGATGAGCAGATCTACAACGCCAACATCACCAGGCTCTACTGGAAGCTGCTGCCGGGGCAGACGGGTGAGCTTAGGGCTCGGCGACGAGCGGCTCCCCGCGAGCGTGTCACCGTGCTGCTGGCGGCCAACTTGACCGGCGCCCATAAGCTCAAGCCGCTGGTGGTTGGGAGCCACCGTAACCCCCCCAGTCTCCGGCACCACAACCAGGAGAAATTCCCTGCTTGTTACCGCTACGGCCCCGAAGCCAGGCTGGGACCGGCGCTGCTCCGCGCTTGGTTCTTTGAGGACTTCGTGCCGGGTGTCAAACGCTACCTGCGCCGGAGCTGCCTGCAGCAGAAGGCTGTGCTGCTGCTCAGCTCCACCTCACCCTCCTCTAGGACAGACCCTGAGGAATCACCCCCGTTGCAGACACCCGACGGCTCCATCCGTGCTCTTTTCCTCTCCAGAGGTCCTGCTGGGAGCAGCTCAGCAGGAGCGGGAGGCCGTATCCCGGCGCCACTGGAGCAGGGGGTGGTGCTGGCCTTCAAGCAGCTCTACAAGCGGGAGCTGCTGCGCTTGGCTGTCTCCTGTGCTGCTGGTGGCTCGGGTGGGCCCATGGACTTCGTGAGGTCTTTCCTCCTCAAGGACATGTTGTACTTGGCCGGGCTCTCCTGGGATCTCATCCCTCCTGGCTCCATTGAGAAGTGCTGGTTGCTGGGGCTCCGCGCTGCCTTCGAACCCCAGCCTGGAGAGGAAGGGCATGGAGACCCCTCACATGGGGAGGACGGTGGTGGGGACAGCAAAGTCTTTAGTGACTTGACCCATCTGGCTGCATTGGCCTACAAGCGTTTGGCTCCTGAGGAGGTGGCTGACTGGTTGCACTTGGACGATGCAGCCCCGGGTACGGAGGAGGACAATGGGGAAGAGGACGCTGAGGAGGAAGGTCCTGGGGGTTATGGGGAAGAGGAGGATGAGGATGAGGAGGCAGCTGATGGAGATGGAGGTGGCAGAAGGGGTGGCAAAGGAGGAGACACCTTGTTGCCCACAGCTCGAGAAGCCATCAAAGGCCTGGAGACGGCACTGCGCTGGCTGGAGGGTCAGGACCCCCGACAAGTGGGGCCACTGAAGCTGGTGCAGCTCCGTTCCCTCATCAGTATGGTCCAGCGGCTCCACCATGGCAGCAGCCCCGATTCCTAAGGCAGGGTGAGCCAGGACCTCTTGGCTACCAACCACCACCCCACTTGGGGCAGGGGGGACAACGGGGCTGGGGACACCCTGGTTGTCCCAGGGTGGACCTACCAGCGTTCCTCACCCGTCCATCATGGGGCCCAGGAGGTCTGAATGCCCCTGGGCTACCACAGCTAAGGGTGGGGGATACAATTTAGGGCTGATGGGTGGGTTGTGCAACAGCTCCTCCGTGTGTTGTGTCTTTGAGGGTTATTCCTCACCAAAGAACATTGAGGAGGTGCTCTGGGACTAAGCAGTGGTGGCTCCCTGGTCACTGGCACTACTAAAAGGGGGTGGATGTCCCCAGCATTGCCCAGTCTTCCCAGTTCCATGGGGAGAAGGGGTGAAGGAGGAATGTGAGGAGCCAGGACAATGGCGGATGTTGCACTAAGTAATTGCCTGTATCTTGGCTGAGGTGGGCACATCCAGATGGACAGGGACCATTCCTGGGGTGCTGGAAGGCCAATGTTCTGATCTGGAAGAGGCAGGTGATGCTCTTCCCACTGCCAGAACAGAGTGCTGTTAAGCTGGGGTGGTTTGGGGCTGGTTTGAGACAACTTTCTTCATGCACTGCACTGGGGATAAGGAGACTTGAGTAGTACCTGAGAAGCTGCAGTTTCCCAGAGAAGGTCACCTCCATCATTCCCATCCCAGCCTGGAAGCACCACAAAGACCTGCTGAAACATCACCAGAGCATCCTCATGAAGCTGAAAGCTCTGGGGATGCAGGCTCAGGTGCCTCATCACTGGGTTTGTGGGGTGGTTGAGGCTGAAGGAGACATCTCATGGTACAAGGGAGATGTTCCTCATGAGTTGAGGTGGGAGCAGGGGGGATTCCCAGCATTGCCTTGACATACTGGAGGCATCAGATGTGAATTTAGCAGCTCTTGATCTAATTTAGGTGAATTTGGGGCCTGCACAGCCTAATTATTGACAGGAGGAATGCAACCACCCATAACCCATCAGTGCTGCCATGCCCTGTGGCAGCAGTGGGGTGGGTGCTTCTGCTTGTTGGGTCTTTGTCTCAGAACTTCAGAGATTATGACAATTAAATGGATTTTTATTCCCACTTTGGTGCTGTTGTGTGTTAAGGCACATGGAGCCACGGGGGTGGCACAAAGGGGACCTCCATGTGCTTGTGTCCTGCGTTCAGCCAGCTCTGGGAGGTGAGGACATTGAACTGTGGAATGGTTGAAGAGAGCTGAAAGCTCATCCAGTTCCAAACCCCTGCCATGGGCAGGGACACCTTCCACTAGAGCAGCTTCCTCCAAGCCCGTGTCCAAACTGGCCTTGAACACTGCCAGGGATGGGGCAGCCACAGCTTCTCTGGGCACCCTGTGCCAGCACCTCAGCGCCCTCACAGGGAAGAGCTTCTGCCTAAGAGCTCATCTCAGTCTCCCCTCTGGCAGGTTAGGGTTGGAACTGGATGAGCTTTAAGGTCCTTTCCAATCCAAACCATTCTATATAATGGCCCATCCATCAAACCCATCTCTCTAATTTAGCAGCAGGCATGTTGTGTGGGACCATACCAAAGGCTGATACCAGAATCAGCCAGGCTGGAAAAGCTCTTTAAGCTCATCCAGTCCAACTGTTCCCCCGCGCTGCCAAGGCCACCACTAACCCATGGCATTGAGGGCCTCAAGTACACAGCTTCTGAACACTTCCAGGGACAGTAGAACTTTCTGGGAGATGACATCTGTAGCTCTTTCATTGTCCACCAACAGAGTTACTCCACCACAGAAAGCCACTTCCTTTGTCAGGCACAGTTTGCCCTTGGTGAAGCCAGGGTGGCTGCCTGAAAACACCTCCTTGCTTCCATAGGGCTCACCATGCCTTCCAGGAGGATCTGCTCCATGATCCTACCAGGCAGGAGATCCCTCTTTTGAAGGCAATGAGTGCTGCCCTATTTCAAATTAAATTCAAGGAATTTAAGCTGGTTTGGTTAAAACCTGGGCTTAGCAAACCATGAAGGTCACCAGCACCTGCCTTGGCATGACCCAGCAGCACCACGAGGCTGTGGCTTCTCTCTTGGGTTGGTGCCACTGGTATTTGGGATGACGGTGTTCCTGGAGACAGGACCTCGAGGAGGATGCAGCATCCATGATGGAAGAAGCTTTCTATCTTCAAAGTGCTTTGGAGATCATCACTAACTGCATCCATGAGGTGCCAGGACATGCAGAAGGCTCAGATCTCGAGATAGGCAAGTTCTGAGGTTCTACCCTCTGGAGGTGCAGCACCCCAGAGCTGAGAGAGGGTCTGGGCTTCCATCCCACCACCTCACTGCTGGGTCCATCTGCAGGACTGTGATGTGATGCCAGTGCCTGGCTGGGGTGGGAGGTGGAGGTTCTTTGGCTGCTTGACTTTTCACCCATGTTTTTGGGATGCAGAAGCAGTTTCATGTTCATGCACGCACCTCTAGAGCTGAGCAGAGGAGCAGGAATCAGTGTCCATGAGCACGATGAGTTTGGAATCAAAGTCTTCCTCTATTCTACCAGCTCCCCACTTCTCGAGGTCCTTTGGCATCCTCAACAGCACCTTTGATGGTCCTTGGCTCCTGCTGTCCCCAAAACCCCATTCCCAGTGCAATATATCCCAGCACAGCGCTGGTGAGCACAGAACCTGCGTGGCATCCGCTCCATCCCTGGTGAGCACAGACCCAACGTGGCATCGGCTCCATCCCTACTGCCCCAAGGACCCATGACTGTCACCTCCCCATGGAGATGACCCCATGGTGGCTGCAGAAGCCCCTTGAAGACTGAAGGGACCAAAAAGAACCAAACCGGCCATGGTGCTGCCCACGTTTATTTGGTCCCAGCCTTGCAGAGGTAGCGTATGGCATGGACACGGCTCCACACCATCTCCAACCCCGACGAGGGTCTCCTGCGGGTCTCAGGGTCCCCCTTGCTCCCTGAAGGGGTTCGCTCTGGTCTCCATCACCCCTCCTGCTCCACAGGGGATGGAGGAGCTCGTCTCCAGCCCGGTTCTTAGTCCTCAGCCATGCTGCGTGCCCGGTTGGTGGCCGCCTCCACGGCGTTCATGACGGTGGCCCTCAACGCGCCCTTCTCCAGCTGGTGCAGTGCATGGATGGTGGTGCCGCCGGGCGTGCAGACGTCTCCCCGCAGCTTCGCCGGGTGCTCCCCTGTCTCCAGCATCATCTTTGCTGCGCCCTGCAACAGAAGAAGGACATGGAAGTGCTGGAGCAAGTCCAGAGGAGGCCACGAGGATGATGAGGGGCTGGAGCAGCTCTGCTCTAGAGCCAGGCTGAGAGAGCTGGGCTGGGGCAGCCTGGAGAAGAGAAGGCTCCTGAAGGGGAGACCTTAGAGCAGCTCCAGTGCCTGAAGGGGCTGCAGCAAACCTGGAGAGGGGCTTGGGACAAGGGATGGAGGGACAGGCCAAGGGGAATGGCTTTAACCTGCCAGAGGGGAGACTGAGATGAGCTCTTAGGCAGAAGCTCTTCCCTGTGAGGGTGCTGAGGTGCTGGCACAGGGTGCCCAGAGAAGCTGTGGCTGCCCCATCCCTGGCAGTGTTCAAGGCCAGGTTGGACACAGGGGCTTGGAGCACCCTGCTCTAGTGGAAGGTGTCCCTGCCCGTAGCAGGGGTTGGAGCTGGATGAGCTTTAAGGTCCCTTCCAACCCAAACCATTCCATGATTCTATGAGAGACCCCCCACGTCCCCTTCTTGCCTGAGCATTGGATGTCAGCACCCTCCCATCCACACCCCTGCGGCAGGGGACAAGGTGCTGAAGCATCCTTCCCACCACCATGCACTCTGCTATCTTTTGGTGGTCTCATCTTTGGTTTCAAGAGGGGAAACCGAGGCAGGACATCACCCAGCACCTCCTCCCTCACTCTGCCACCTCGCTGGTGCTGCAGGGCAGGAGGGAGAGGAGCAACGCTGGGTGTCCCCAGGTGCCACCTCCCACTCACCAGCAGCGTCTGAGCCGCGATCCTGCTGGCTAAGCCACCCGGCATTCCCATCTTCACCGCTCCCTCGGCCAGTGCCTCGGCAAACAGATAGACCTGGGGCAGAAGAACATCAGGGGTGAGCGTGGTGCAAGGTGGAGAACCCCAAACACCAACTCCGGCCCCACACGGGTGGGATTTCTCCTGGTGCCCCATGTCCCGCTGGTGCTTACATAGGCTACCCCGCTGCCGCTGAGGCCGGTGTGGATGTTGATGTAGGATTCGGGGACCTCCTCGCAGAGGCCACAGGAGGACAAGAGGTTCTTCAGCAGGGAGGCTTCCTCGTCACCAGCACCACTGCCCCGGGCGAAGACCATTGCTCCCGCCTGCACCACACAGGGCAGGTTGGGCATGAGCCGCAGCACCTTGGTCCCGCTGGGGAGAAGCTGGGGAGAGATGGGGATGGGAGAAGGGTGCCGGCTCCAGGGAGCACCCAAAGGTGTCGTGGGACACTGATGGGTATCATACACTGGGGCTGGTGGAGCGGCGAGGTCCATAGGGTAGGATGTGGGGAGGGACATGGGACCATAGGACAGAGCACAATGGCTTGTCCTTCTCCGTGGGGAGGGAAGAGGAAGAGGAGGATGAGAAGGAAGAGGAGGAAGAGATGAAGGATAAGGAGGAGAAGAAGGGAGAAGGAAGAGGAGGAAAAAGGAGCAAGAGGAGGAAGAGGAACAGGCAAAGGGATAGCAAGTGGGATAGGAAGAGGGATATGAAGAGGAAAAGGAGGAGCAGACTCACCCTCTGCAGTGTCTGGAGGGTGACACCGGCCACCAAGGAGACGACGATGTGGTGTGGTCCCACAGCAGGACGGATCTCCTGCAGCACACCCGGCAGCACGTGGGGTTTGGTGGCCAGGATGACCAGGGTGCTCTCCTGCAGCACCTCCAGGTTGCAGTGCGTGGTCCGACAGCCCGACTCCTGCCCATGCACAGGGAGAGGTGTCACAGCCTGGGATCCACCAACCCCACCATGGGGACACGGTCTGGGGACCTGCTCTGGCCACAGAACCACTGCCTGGGTTTCACCCAGAGCTGGGATGGATAAGCCAAAGCCATGAATGGGGCAAAAGGGTGTCCTGACACCACGGTGAGGGGCATCCCCAAAGAAACATGACCAGGAGGTCAAAGGAGTGATCCTGCCCCTCTGCTCTGCTCTCATGAGACCCCACTTGCAGCACTGGGTGCAGTTCTGGGGTCCTCAGCATAAGAAGGACATGGAGCTGTTGGGAGCAAGTCCAGAGGAGGCCATGAGGATGAGCAGGGTCTGGAGCACCTCCTGTATGGAGCCAGGCTGAGAATATTGGGGCTGTTGAGCCTGGAGAAGAGAAGCTGTGTGGAGACCTCAGAGCAGCTTCCAGTGTGTGAAGGGGGCTACAAGGATGCTGGAGAGGGACTCTTCATTAGGGACTGCAGTGATAGGACAAGGGGTGATGGGTTCAGAGTGAAACAGGGGAAGTTCAGGCTGGAGATAAGGAAGAAGTTCTTCCCTGTGAGGGTGCTGAGGCGCTGGCAGAGGGTGCCCAGAGAAGCTGTGGCTGCCCCATCCGTGGCAGTGTTCAAGGCCAGGTTGGACACAGGGGCTTGGAGCACCCTGCTCTAGTGGAAGGTGTCCCTGCCCATAGCACTGGGTTGGGACTGGATGAACTTTAAGGCCCCTTCCAACCCAACCCATTCCATGGTTCTACGTCTCCCACCCCACGGCCACCAAGTGCAGTGATCTGTCACCCTGTGCCCGCACTCACCCTCCATGCATCCAGGTTTTTGTCCGAGGGAGCGCTGGCCAGGATGCTGCTGGCTGGCACCTTCCCTTGGGAAACACAGGGACAGGGGTGAGTGAGCAGATGGGGGCTGATCTCAGCCTCTTCTCCAACCCCAGCACCCTCAGGACAAGGAGCAAAGGGAGCCAGGGCCAGACCCTGCCATGGGAACGGCTGTGGGGACCCCATGGGTCAGCATGGGCACCCATGGGGATGGCTGTGGGCACCCCGTTGTGCCCCAGGGCAGTGACAAGGGGGGTGACCCCAAATGCAGGGGCCATCTCCCAGCTTCTGAGTAAGAGCAGGGCTGTCTCTGCCCTGGTCATGGGGCACGGTACCCGACTGCCCCCATGTCCCCACTCCAGTCTATGTGTCAGGGACCCTGGGGAGGGCAGGGGCCAGGACCAGGCTGTCCCCATGTCCCCACACTGCTCTATGGGGCAGAGACTCCAGGGAGCAGGACAGGACAAGGCTGTCCCCCCACTGATCAATGGGCAGGGACCCAGGGGAGGGCAGGGACCCCAGGGAGGTAGACAAGACCAGGCTGTTCCCAGATCTACCCCCACCTCCACAGGACAAGGACCCACAGGAGGGGCCAGGACCGGTCTGTCCCCATGACCCTGTCCCCGCTCTATGGGGCAGGGACCCACAGGAGGGGCCAGGACCGATCTATCCCCATGCCCCCCCCCCCCCCCCCCCCCCCCCCCATGGGGCAGGGACCCACAGGAGGGGCCAGGACCGCTATGTCCCCATGCCCCCGCCCGCCCCCCCCCCCCGCGCTCTATGGGGCAGGGACCTACAGCAGGGGCCAGGACCGATCTATCCCCATGCCCCCCCCCCCGCTCTATGGGGCAGGGACCTACAGGAGGGGCCAGGACCGATCTATCCCCATGCCCCCCCCCCCCCCCCCCCCCCCCCCCCCGCTCTATGGGGCAGGGACCCACAGGAGGGGCCAGGACCGATCTATCCCCATGCCC